AAACCTACGCTCAAAGCCACGATTTTGTCCTTGTCCAAAATTATTTCCAGAGAAGAAATTCCGACCTCCTCGACCACGACGAGTTCCACGACTTCGTCCGCAAGTCTGACCTCTGTTGTTTCCTCTACCATACCCATAAAAGTCTGGCCGGTTTTGAACAAAAGAATATAAATCTTCAGGATGGGAGGAAGGCGAACCTGCCATAACTGAAGTCTGCAACACATTCAGAGAGCTTGGATTCAATGAGAACATATTGTGTGCAGATTTTTCACGTTGAACATTATCTTCTTCAATCAAGAGTAACCATCGAAGCTCTAAAAAGGATGGAAAAGGAACCCATTGTGGAATGGTTCGCTTTGCTACACTGTATTCATTGTCAAGACCAGCAAGAGCTTGCATGACAATATCTTTGTCAGTCACGTGTTCGCCAACATCATACATATTGTCAGCTATTTTCTTGACAGACTCCAGATAGCTAAACATAGATTGACCACTTTGTTTGCGCATAGAACGATATTGTTGCTTGACATAGTGTTTTCTTGCCCATAATTGATTCTGGTATGAAGTTTGAATGACATCCCAGGCAGCTTTAGCAGACAGAGACGCACCAGATTGAATAATTATCCGTAGAACCTCAGAAGAAATAGTAGCCTTAATCCATGACAAAATCTGAAAATCAATCTGCTTCCAGTTCTCAAAATTAGGATCTGTAGGTGGCGGGCAAGGGTCAATACCGTCGATATGGCCATATACTCCTTTGCTTTTGAAGACAGGGATCATTAAATCTTTCCATATTACATAGTTCTCATGAGTTAAGATCTCAGGTACAAAATTTTTTATATTAACAGAAAACACAGGATGAGAGAAAATCAAGGAAGCGATGGATGTAAAGGGTGTACTTATAGGCATAGGTGAAGAACTAATGGGTGACATGGACGACGTAATTGGTAGGGATGGAATAACAATAGGCGGTGGAGGCTGAACAGAAGTAACAGTTGGATTGGTAATTGTAGGAAAATTGGAGGAAACTGGTTCAGACCTAGAGGAAGCCATGATTGATCGAAAGAGGAGGAATAAACCTCAGACACAAGAAAGAAAGAAGAAACGAAGATAACGAAGAAACGAAGAAAGAAACCCTAGACACAAAATCTGGTGCCTGCGGCGGCTCTGATACCATAAAGCCAAGTATATACAAGTATATAGACTAAGTTACACATCTACCCTCATATATAATACACTATCATCTATGACTTAGGGAACCAACGATCAGGCCGTTAAGGCCAGATCTATCTCTTGAAGTTTTCGTCTGTTAGTGCTTAAGCAAGTCGGTATATACAATTACTATTAAAGGTAAAAAGAGATCAATCAATATGAGCCACATTTTCTTTGGGAATTTGGTAACCTACTTCTTCGAAAGAAGATGAGTAGACGATGTTTCTTTTGCATGCATGATCTTGCTCTCACATTCAGGCCTTCTTCATGATTGTTTACCATAAAATGATCGTAATTTGTTTACCAGCTCCACTCCATGATCAATTAAGTTATATATAAATGAAAACTTCCCTCATCACCAAAATATTAAGTAAAATGAAAAAAAAATTAACTAGAAGCATGGGACGAAATAGCATATATGGGATATGGAGCTAGGCAAAAGGTCCGTCGTCTCTTCCACCCTTCATACTCTATATTTATCCATAATATAAAAAATGAATTAATACGCACACAATCCACTAGCCAGAGAATAAACACAAATGGGATATATCCAAATAAAAATAACAACCACACCTACTCTTCAATCATCATACCACATGATGTCTGAGACGTTAACACAATTTCTAAAACTACCCATGGAAACTTGCAACTCAATTTCACCAAATCTCATTCTTAATTAGTTTCCATATCCTGTTGGGAACTCGCAAGTTCCATATCCTGCAAGAAAAGTCAACTTAGATTTAGTACAAAACCCAAAAGGCGAAAGACACAAAGCTAGAAAAACAATGAATGGGAAGAAATTGTAAGCAAAATGCCTAAAGGTGAAATTACTACCCCGTAATAATTATACCAAACTATATTATGTTAATTATAAGATAATAGTTAGGTTGCCTTTCATTGAGGGTTTTCTTCATCTAACAAGAAATAATCTTTATTGAGTGGAAGCAATTTAATTTTTTTTAAATAAAATCTTAAATTTAAATCTAATAAATTTAAATAAATATTGAGAGAACTTCCTCTTATAGGATTGATACAATTCAATTTTAAATTAATCAAAATTTTATATAATTTTTAGATACCAAAAAATTAATAAAAAAATTGTTAAAAAAAAAAACCATTAAACAAGGATAACCTTCACGATTTGTAATTCTAGAAGAATAAATTAAAATTGGAAAAATTGAGAGAAGGGATTGAGTACATACTAGGAGCTTGCGTGACCACGGAAGCTGCACCACCAAAGTCGCACGTACCAGCCCCGCGAGAGTTCTTCTGATAATAACTATTGAGAGCGTACGAAGCGTGCGCCTCGAGCGTGTTCGGGTCATAACAGGCAGCACCCGGTTGGATCGGACTACAATCCGCCCCGCCTTTGCCGCAAGCAAAATCAAGCGCCTCCTGTAACTTCTTCTGGTCAGCTTTCTCATTGGCCACGCACCACGTCTGCCCCACCTTCGTCTTGGACACCCCTTCGGTGGCCGGAGCCTGACTCTGGTTCCCACTCACCGCCGGTGTCGACTCCCAGCTCTGGAGCTGCGACAGGGTAAACGGTACGTCGTATACCTTCTGCTCGTTCGGGTAAAATAACCCGTAATTCCGCTCCGAAGTGGGTCCCGTTTTCTGGTTCTCATTGAAAAGTGCGAACAGGTAAACGTTCAGTGGATCCTGGGGTCTCAAGGGGGTCCCACTTCCAGTCAAAACTCTGCGCACCAAGTTCCCGTTATACGACGCTGCATTTGCCGTCCCAGCACCGATCTCCTCCGCATCCCCCATCGACGGCCACCCTGTTTCCGTCACCACCATCTTCAGGTCGTTGTAATTCAGGGCCTTCATGGCAGCAAAAACGGCATCGGCTTGGGCCTCAAGAAGACTGTAGTACTTTAACCCATTACCGGAATCCACCACGCCGGAGTTATTCTTAAACAGGGCATAGTCTAGAGAGATACTTTTGGAGTTGTCTTTGTATGCAAAGAATGGGTAAATATTAACCATGAGATATGACCCCGACTGGCTCAAGAAATCCAACATGGGTTTGATCACAGGCTCGACCAATTCGGATTTGAAGGACCCAGATGAAGACGGGTATGAACTTTGCAGAGCGCTGAGGGCAATTGGAGAGGAGACTTTAATGGAGGAATCCATGTTATACTTCACGAGAGAGTTGTGGATATTTTTCATGGCTGGGACAAGGTATATCGTCCTGTTGTTGGGGTCGACGAAGACTTCATTTCCAACAGCAATAGCTTCAATGTTCGTGGCAGGGAAGTACTTTGAGATGTTAGTTTGGACCCAGTTATCGGTGAAGGACTGGTCGGCGGCTGCAGAGGAGAGTAGCTCGTTGGGAACTGCGACCACGACGCTTATATTTGAGTTGGCGAGGGCTGTGAGGACGTCCGGGCTGGCGTCAAAGAGCTTAATTTTATCTATACCCTGTGTTTTGAAGAGCTCCACTACCTTGTCCGGCGTAGGTAAATTGTTGGCCACACGGCCATAGTTCACCCCAATCAAACCGGCGGCATCACCAATGCTTGAAAAAATGAGGAGATAACAGAAAACAGTGCCACCATAGGAAGCCATGCTCTGATCTGGGGAAAAACAGAGCATTTCAGGGGAAGAGGGTAGTTAATCTCATAATACAGAGTGCTTATCCCATTATCATAGACGCAAGCTATGATGGAGAAGTGGGGGTTAGTGGCAAATAAAAAATGAGAGAGAAAAGTGTGGTGGGACCCAATTAAGTCGGTTTTTTGTTTTTTTTGGATGAACCAATTAAGAAGATTGTTGTAAGTTGATAGCCAAAAAAATAAAATATAAATAAATAAATAAAAGAAAACTAAGCTTGGATTTTGGTCCTAAGCAATGTTTGGTCCATTTTTCCCAAAGATATATAGTTAATGCCTTCGTGGTGAAAACTTTGATTTTTTGTTTGCCCATTGAAATTAGGTTGACAACCAACCAAATTAATCTTTGTGCACTAAAATCTCAAGGAAAATTTTTGAAGAATGTTTTTTTTTTTTCAACTAAGTTTCATTGACTGTTGAAATAAGATTTCGATTGTAAGTATTGTATTTTATTGCATTGTGCTAATATGAAATTGTACCATTTAAATTGCTATCCACCCAAATGTGAAGTTTGGAAGTATAAAATTAAAACTACTAGTACAATGCATCAACACGCTTGAATCTATATCTAGAATTGTTCCTTTATTGCTAAGATATATTCGCATGTCTTAATAAGACTGGCAAAGGTGAATTATGAAAAATTTTAGGATGCTTGTAGATGGTATTTCGATGTCATGCCATGGATAACTATTATTTTGTTCACAAGAAATGCTGAAATTATTTCTTAAAGGGAAAATATTGAGATGAATTGAAATGTCATCAATCACTCAATTTATATGTTCAATAATTGAAAAGAGAAAGTTCTAAGATGTTTATTTTATCACATAAAAAAAAAAAGAATGTTTATTTTAAATATGTTTCTTGCTATTAAGAATTACAAATGAAGGAAAATGATAAGAAAAGAACAAAATATTTCACTGTCAATTGATAAGCAATCCCATTACCCATCTCTATTTTGTTGATAACATTTTTTTCTTATAAACTTGTCTCCATAAATGAATTTCACACTATAACCCTTAACCATTAAGCATATGTATTCACCTTTATTATTACTATTAATTTTTTTTACATAATTATCGAAGAAAAGATATTTTATGGATCATATTGTTTCTCTAACTTTAAATTTTAAACTCCTATTTACTTAGATGGTTTTTTAGGACTCCATTTGTTTTAGTTTTAGTGCAATTTTTTAGTTGGCAACATGATCTATTTGCACAACAAAATTGACTTCTTTTTTTTGATCCAGTTAAACAGAAGTATCCTAGTTGAGATTAGGGAATTTCTGAAAATTTTAACGTTGAATTTGTTTGATTCTTGGTCTTGAAAGTCATTGTTTTCATATTTGTGAGCAAAGAAAATGTCAATTTTTCCAAAAATAATACTAAATCGACCAAGTTCTCTGCAAGACCCCAAAATCAAATTTGGCATGATGACCAGCTCTCACACGACCAACTAACCTTTGACTAATCCATTGAAATGCCTGAATCAATCAAACGCAATCTAAGTCGAACAAAAGTGGTAATTCGTAGAAGTTAATAATGGTGGGCTAATTAGGTTATCAATCAACTATCAACTAAAACAATATAGTATTTTTTTTAAATAAGAATAATGGTTAGGAAGTTAGTTTAAATTAGTTGTTAGCAACTGGAGATTCGACTTTTAGATCGGGTGAACATTTCACCCCCTCAAATGAAGCGCGCGGCCATTGAGCTGCTTTTTGGTGGAGTTCATGACAGTGGTAAAGTTCGAAACTCTGACTACCTCACTCACGCACTTAAGACTTGAGGTCGAACCATTGAATCTAAAAGCCTGTTCACTAAAACAATATACTAATTCCTCCATTAATTGCCAAAGTCAAGCGGAAAGTCTGAATCACGCACGCAATAATTAAGAGGTGTCATTGTATTATATACGTGTCTTGATAAAACATGTACGATGAGAAACTGCAAGAATGTCTACAAATTTATATCATCGGGTGTGTTTGAAAGAAACTAAGAAGAATGGGTCTAATGTTAATATGGGTGAACAAAAATTTTCTATATTAATTATGGTCTGTTAAGATTAAGTCTCAATAGGGTCCTTTAATTTATTGATTTGGTCTGATAATAATATGTTAATAAAAGATTCTCTGTACCTTTCATTTTTTGAACAATTTGTAATTATTTATAGGGTTAATTGAAAGAGGAAGGAAAGGATTTTCGTGAGGTTCGAACGTTCAACCCATCGGAGGTGAACAGCCGTAATCCATGGTCCAATGCCACTAAGACAGAGCGGGCCGTTCGATTCTTTGTACCTTTCATACTATTAAAAAAATAAATAATTGAAATATATACATCTCCACGTCATGTTTTTCAACTTCTATTTTCAAAGGCTTGAATAGGGCTCTAATGGGTCCAATGTTCTAAGACGATTTCTAAACCCTAACATTCTTTCTTAGAATGTAAACACTTGAATTTGGTGAATCTAGTTAAGAAATTTGGTATTTCTAACGTACCTAATCTTGGCTTGATTTGGGCGGGGGAAGTTTTGTTTGCAATAGACCCTTTTTGTGATTTTGACCTTATCGATCTCTTCATCGAAACAAGTCTTGAATATGGAGTTATTTTATGAGCAGGTTGAAAGAGGCGGCTGGACTTATTTTCTTTGATCCCAAAATGAAAAGCTTTAATAGGGTAACGATAAACTACCCAGTACCCATTCTGTTCGCCGAAAACTTGGTGAGGACTGAAGGGGCATGGATTACTAATTACTTAGTGTGGTAGGGCAGATATTATTATGGGATTTTTACAAAGATCATCTGTTTTGAGACAGTTGCTGCGCCTGCCACATTGGCTTCCTAAACTTCTTTTCGTTTTTGTTGAATTTTGTTAAAATCTAAAGATTAACATAGGTAGAGTTTAAAACATCAAAATATAACAAATTAAATAAATTATGTACCTGAAATGATGTTCTGTAGTTGCAAGATTTTCTTTTCTTAAACCACACGAAAGACGACTCTTAATAAGTTAATACAGAATATCAAGTATAAAGAAAAGAATTTATATTGAAACCCTAGTGGAAATCTCTCATATTAAGGGCGGTTGGATTTAGGCCTGCAAAATTAAAGGGGTGGTGCTATTAGAACAACTTTTTTGTCTCACTTTTTTGTACAACTTTCACGTGTCATTACATAAATAAATGTATTTAATATCACGAGTTTCATATGAATTAAAAAAATCAATCAGATTGTACAAAAAGATGGGATAAAATTATTGTCCCAATAGCATTTCCCAAATTGAAGTATGCTACAATGAATGGTGAATCACATTAACGAGCTAAAAATTAATGTTCTTTAAACTTGTTTAAACTTTAAACCAACCATAGTCTCTAAGAAAGGTAGAGCCTCATAGCCTATTGATAAAGGGCCAAAAAGGGTTAAACCCAAGTCTTTTTCATTTAATTTTTTGGTCGTAAGAGAAGTCCACCAACTATAACTCTATATAAGTACAGCCTTATTGGCCCAATTAACCTGTATCAATTGTGGGCTGAGAAAGTTTAGTATACTAGTGTATAGTATCAAAGCCCTAAGTCCTAAACCCTAACCCAACTGTAGCCCGCCCAATTACATTGGGCCCAATTTTCACCGTCCGTCCGATCTTCTTCCACCAAACGCATCTGAACCGTCAATTGCGGCCTTAATAAATCCACCTAGGTCGGCAGGGCAGAGTCGATCACCTTACTCCGATCGGAGAATCCAAATCCGAAACCCTAAAACTCTGAATCTTCCCCGGCCGCCGTAAGCAGGAAACGATGTCGGGAGTCACCAATCAAGAGGAGGACAAGAAACCCACGGATCAAGCTAATCACATCAACCTCAAAGTCAAAGGCCAGGTTCGATTTCAATTTCCTTTTTTTTTTTTTTTTTGATAATTTTGTTTACCTTATGGGATTATTAATTTCACCTCCTCGTTAATTGATGATTTCGTAGTCGTATTTGGATAATATTAACTAAATTCCATTTTTGTTTTTTTTTTTTTTAAATTTTTTTTATATATCTAAGGTGATGGAATTTTGGGTAATAAGGAATTTGAATTTTTTTTTACTAACATGATCAGAGAGCAGCAGGTGGTTTGGTAAGGAATCCTGGATGCCAGTGGGAAGGATTCTGAGTAAAAAATGCAAGCAATCTGCTATGTAAATGTTTCTGGTTTGACTTTCGAATTATGGTGTCAAATACTTTCTAAATTAAGATTGTGCACTTATGCTTCCGAACTCGGATGATAGTGTGTTGATGTTTATGCTTGTATAATAAATCATTAGTATTGTTCTGCTTTTATTGAAACTTAGAAGCATGTTTGTGCCAGTGTTCTTGGTGGAAAACTTGAAGTTTTTTAATGTTTTAGGATACCCAGTAGAAAAGATATGTTTTAACATTGGGAAATGGTAATACTTGATGATGCTTTGTGGTTGTTTGCTATTGTTTGAAGTGGAACTTTCTGTTTGTATGTTTAAGAACTGATTTTGATGTTAGGTACCAACTTATTTGCTCAAATATTGAAGGCAATCTGATGTTATTGTTGAACTGTTGTGCATTTTTTATGCTAGTGTTTTTAGCTTTCTAACTTCTGGCTGATGTGAATTGAATTTAATGTTTCCCACATTATGTTTTCCAGTGATTTAATTGTTGCTTCATTATGTGCCTGCTGGGTCGGATGAAAAACTTGTATTGTTGTTATTGTTGTTGTTTTTTGTTTTTCTTTGCTATGAAATTACGATACAAGCTAGCTAATATTTCTTTAGAAATTGTAACAGCAGATCATTGGTTGAGATGTCAAATTAATTGCGACTGATCCTTCAATTTTTATACTTTCTAGGATGGGAATGAGGTATTCTTCAGGATCAAAAGATCCACTCAACTGAAGAAGCTTATGAATGCTTACTGTGATCGACAGTCAGTGGACATCAACTCCATTGCATTCCTTTTTGATGGTCGTCGCCTGCGAGGGGAACAGACTCCAGATGAGGTCTCTTTGTCTTTGAAGTCTATATCTCTCTCCGTCCCACACAGCTGAGTCTGTTGTTTGAGTTTCTTGTTGCTAACTTATTTTATTCCTTTTCTTTTCCACAGTTGGAAATGGAGGATGGGGATGAGATAGATGCGATGCTGCATCAAACAGGTGGTGCTATGGCCTAAGTAGTGTGTTTAGTGGGTTGTTTATGCTGGTATGGTAGTATTGTTACCTGATAAAATAGGTTTTTCTGAAATATGACCTCTGGAACTGTATGGTATTCACACAACAAAGCCTCTTAATATGTTTCTGCATGATGCTTCTCGATAGCGTAGAACAGTAGATGTTCTACGCTTTGTTTCATTGTCTACTTTCTATTTGCACAGTTTGATGATTCCCTATTTGTTCTAAATATATGGATGAGTTAGTTTCTTAATATAGGAACAAAACCCAAGTTATATTGCTGTTGGTAGAATAGTTTGCTTGATGTATCTAGACATGGTAGTAGCGGAAATGAAAGCCCCAGGAGGATGCCAGTGATGTTGAAATTCAAGACATACAGAATGGTGCTCCTTTAAAGCAGAAAACCTAGAGGATAATGGATAAGAAGAATTCCAAAACAAAATGATCTCCCCCCACTAGGGATCTTGCAGAAATTCCATTTGAAACTTCTAAACAAACGTCATTATATTATGATCAACTCCTTTTAATTTCTTTGCTCAAAGTCTTTGTTTCTTCCGTCAGAGTGAACTTGTTAGGATTGGCTGCATTTTTACTATAACGTAGAAGAAATAATCTATGAACCCTGCATTGCTGCGGTCAGCGGGTGCAAGCATGAAAGGTAAGAAGTAACCAATAAAAATTGTCAGTTTTTGGAAGGTTAGAAGTAACCAATAAACGATGTTTCAGTTTTTGATCTGGATCTCCAAATTTGGTGTGGTTATGACCATATGGGAATTTATATAGGAATTTGTTAACCGACGTATCGTAAATTTGGAAACTCTGGTTCTGTGTTTTTTAGCTTTTAGGAAGAATTAACAAATTCAAATTAGTTTATAGTCTGATATCTTTAACTGTTATAATTAATTGTTTAATAAAAATAAAAGTTATAAACTGATAAATTATTTGTCAAATCAAATATTGTACAAACATAATAATTTAAGTAGCTTCAACAAATTTGAATCAATCGATCAGGTTTAATGGTTCGTTTATAAGCTTTAGAGCTTGGATTTCATTGATAGGGAGTTTTACTTTTACTAATTACTTGAAAATTTTTGGTAAAATTCTCAAATTCACTCTTAAAAAAATATCAATAGGGACATATCTACCCCTAAAAAAAAGTAGACATAAATTATCATTGCAAATTATAAATCAATACAAATCACCTCTTTTTTAACATTTTTCGTTAAAAAATGTTGACGTGACAAACAGAATTCTAACGTTTTTCATTGAAAAATGGGTGATTTGTATTGATTTATGATTTAGAGGGACAATTTATCCCTGCTTTTTTTTGAAATGTGGATGTGTCTCTACTAATATTTTTTTAGGGTGAATTTGAGGGCTTTGCCAAAATTTTTTATCCTTTCAATTTTCCCATGTTCAGAAAAAAAAAAAAAAAAAAGCTTCAACAAATTCAGCTAGGGTTGTTGCTACGTCCAAAATAATAAACGTCACAACTTCTTATGTAGCAATAGCCGTATAGCACCACTCAACCAATTCTTATGCACCAATAAAAATTGTTTCAGTTTTTGAAAGGTAAGAAGTAACCAACAAACATTGTTTCAGCCATAGGAGTCCTATTTTTTGAATGTTCAAAATTTTTTGGCCTTGGGTTTTAGATGTGTAAAATATACTGTGTAAAATAGTTATTTTTCTAATTATGATAGAATGATGACCTATGATTGTTAAATTTTAATTAATTTATTTCAACTAAAATGTTATAGGAATTACTTTTATTAAATTTGGAATTATAAAAGGAGATTGATTTATTTTTTAAAAAAAATACATGAATTTATTTTAATAATCATTTAAGGTAGAAGAGTAAACCTTACTATTTTGCCAACTATTTTTTAAATTTTCTAAAATTTTATAGCCTTGGACTTTTGACGATGTTCATCAATCAAAGCTTTCCTAACTCACTGACTCAAGACTTCTGAAAAATAAGACAAATATGAGGGCATTTTCAAAAGAATAGAGGTTTCTCCAAAATGTGAAACTTAATAACTATTATATCAATGAAAAGACATTTTTAAAAAAAAATCACGTGTTGACCTCTGTTTGGTGTCAACTCTTTAGCAGCTGATTGGTTAAAGAGAAACTTTTTCTATAAATTTTTAAAATTTTTTTGTTCTTATAAAGTTATTAATATATTTTTTACATATTAATATTATAATAAAAATAGAGTAAAAGTGATATTTTTAATATTTATTTTTTAACACAATTATAATATTTACCTTTTAATATTTATGTAGAATTTATTTGACTATTTTTTTAATTAACTTTTCCTATATCAATTTTTTTATACTAATTTCTTATTTAATATAGAAAAGTTAACGGCTTAAAAATATTTCAACAAAACTTTATTATAAAATTTAATAATTTATCAACTTTCTGTACTATACTTTTTTAATAATTTTTTTAGTAAGAACTTTCCTAGTAAAATTTGTCTTCTAACCAAACATGCCCTAAATTTATGCTTTTGGCAAAAAATGAAAAATCCATTTATGAAGTTAAAAAATGAAGAATATATATGAGTTAAGATTCATTTACCCACAACTTTTACATAAATTACTCACACAAATCCTTTTAATCCAAGAAATCTTAATCATTTATAACAAAAAGATGATTTGTCCAGATTTTATATAATTTATACGTGTAACAATTGTGTGGTAAAATCTCATGCTGGAAAAACATTAAAAAGACATGTGAGTTAAATATAATGAAAATTACTTCATTTATTATTAATTAGATATAATTTGAATATAAATCTTATATTAAAACCCATATACCTAGTTTTCACATGGTATTAAAACTCAAGTTTCATTATTAGGAACCCTAAAATCCCATGACAGTTTACCAAGAAGCCTACAATCCCATGATAGTTCAAGCCTGTACGAGGGGAGGGAATACTAAAACCTGTTTGTCAGCCTGATATTCAAGTGAAAGATCAAACTTGTACATCAGGAAGGCCTCCTAAGTTTGTAGCTTGAGGTCCACATGATGGGACTCAAAATTAACACCAAGTTTTCACGTGAGGCGTGTGTGTTCAGGTGAAGCTAATTAATTTTATAATGGACATAAATCTTGTGGGTTAAATGCTCATTTTGGTCCCTCAACTTTATTGGTTTGCACATTTTTGATCCCTAAAGTATTTTATGCACTTTTTTTATCCATCGACTCTAAAAAATGCACAATATTGATCTTCTGTTAGTTTGTGCCGTTAATTCCGTTCACGTGACATTTTTTATATTTTTTTTAATGATGTAGCAAACTAAATTAAATCTAAATGGTGCCAAGTCAGATTTCACTAATTAATCATCATTAAACTATTACTTATGTTAATCAAAGTTGAGATTTTAATTAATTTATAATTAAATCACAATTTCCTCATCAAATTTTCTTAACAGACATTACAATTTTCTTAGCAACCAAACAGATTGAAACCATTTTCTCAGTATCCAAACACCCAAACTGTACAATTTTTTAGCCAAGCAAATAGAAACCCACTAAAAATTGCTTCTTTGCCCATTGGTCACTGCTTCTATTCGTTCCATCACCAGTGATGTTCTTTCCATTTTGAACATTAAATCCATTTAGACAATAGTTAGGAAATATGA